AAAAAAAGATTAATAAAAATAACTTGAAAAAAAAAAAAAAAAACTTAGTAATAACAATTTCTAAATTTATTTGAAAAAGAACTAAAAAGATCCACTCGTTATTTAAATAATTACAACCGATTTTACTATTGAAAAAGTAATATAAATAATACACTAAATCAATATTAATCTTGAATTTTTATATGGTATATTTCAATTATGAATTTTAGCTCTCACATTCTATTAAATTATATCCTTTTCTTTTGTTTTTTTCCAATTTTTTTTTGATATTATTATTTGATAATCTTATTTTTTCAATAATAAAATAAGATAGGGAGTATATGTTTAGCTAACTCTATTTTTATTTTAATTGTTTTTAAAGAAAATTATCAATTTTTGAAAACAATTATTGGAAGCTCTAAAATAACTTGTACCAACTTTCTCAAACTATTATATAAATTAAAAGCTCTGTTTTTTTTTTTTTTTTTTTTTTTTTTTTTTTTGTGTATTATTTATTTCTAATTACTTCACCCAGAATCAATAAAGAAAAATTTTTTGATGTTAATTAAAATTACTTCAGAATTGTCTAAATCTATCTATTGTTATCATTAGAATTTTGTAAATGTGTCTTTTTTCTTTTTAAATTTCTTTTAGATGAACCCAATATAATTTTATCAAAGTTTTTCTACAATTAATTATTCAACCCTTTTTCTCTCAGATTTTAACAAATTTTTAGAATGTTTATATTATTGTAATAAATTTAAAAAATGATTAAAAAACTAAATTGGGCTCAAAAAAATTCAAAAGACCATTTCTAGATATTAATAGATATCAACCCTTAGAATTTTTGACTGAAAAAGTGTTTTTTACTTCAATTTTTAAAAGAATATAAAAACTCTATTTTTTACAAAATTGAATATTTAAATTTATGTAAGAATAAATTGAATAAGAAAATTTTTTTTTGATCTTACTAATAGGTTCATATCATTATTAAACAGTTTTGAAAAAATTAATTCTTTTTCACTTTGTAATAACTTTACTAAGAATAAAACATATTTTATGATTAGATATCTATAAATAAATAATTTATTTGGATAAAATTTTAGGAATTAAGTTGAAAAAACATTTTTTGATTTAGATTTTTTCAGATTTGATAGTAAGAAAATTGATTAAAAATAATTTTTTTTTCACTATTGTCCAAATAAAAATAAATTTTTATAATAAAGTATAAACATTTTGTAACACTGTTATATATTTTTTAAAGTAAACAATTCCTTAAAAATTTTTAATACGATTATTTTTGTAAATTATTGTTTTTTATAAAGATTGTTATAAAATTTCCTTCCCACTATCAAAATGAAATAAGATTATTTTTTTTGAAAAAATTACAAAAATTCATTGAATAAAATGGAATTTTGATATTAAAATTATAAATCTCTTAGAACAATATTCACACAAATTATCTTCGAAACAAAATTTTTAATTTGAGTTGTTATCAAAGGATTATAAGATATAGAATTTATAAACAATTATCTTAAAAATAAAAGTTATAATAAAAAATTCCATAGTTACGTACAATAAAAAAATAATTTAGAAAAAAAATTTTCAACTTTTGAAAAATTTTTCTAGTTTTATGTGATTTTATTATTTTTTTCACTAGAAATTATGTCAAAAAAAATATTTTTTTTAAAGTTTATCTAGACATCAAATACTTTTTTGCTAAATTATTAAAACACATCATACTTTACTGGAAATTATTTTGGGGCATTTTGCAGCCAACATTGCTTACAATGTGTTTGTAAATAATTTATTCATTACAAAAGATATTCTGAGATCACCTAGAAAATTACTTTTATCTAATTATTACCATTCAAATGGTAATATATATATATATATGTATGTATTTAATTCTAAATAATTTGTAAATAATATAAAAATATAAATTAAATTTTAAAAAATATTATTTTTTTCAATTGTAAAATTTGGTAATTTTTTCAAAAAGAATTTTTTTCTAATTTTAATGATTTGATCAATAGTCCGAGTCAGATTAATAATTAATTGATTATTTTTTTTATTTTATACTCTTTTTTTAATTTATGACTTTTTAAAATCTAGACATAAAATAAACAATATTATTAAATAAGAGACAATAGATTAAAAAATATTTTCAAAGATCTGTATTAAGGGAGCAGCCACGGTAAAGAAAAATTTTTCACTTTTTTGCAATTCTGAAGAGGATAAGAAAATAACATTTTTTAATTTGGTTGTAACTCATTGATTTTTATTATTTAAAGTACTTCATTCATTAGATTTTTTAAATTTTTTTTTCAAAGTCTCAAAGAAATTGCCACAATAGAATGTTGAGTTGAATTGTAAAAAGTATTGTTTTGAATGTTGAATAACTTATCTTTTCTCATTATCACAACATTCTATTGTGGCATTTAATTTTTTCCTTTTTTTATTTTTTTATCCATTTTGTGATTTTTTAAATCCTGAAAACATAAAGCAATTAGAAATATTTTTTTATTAGTGATATTTGGAATTAAGGGCTTTTTTTAAAAAAGAAAAACAACATTACAATTGAAAAAATCATAAAAGGAAACATAAATGGGACTTAAATAGCTAGAAGATTCCAAAAATAGAATAATTATCCCAATTATTACTTGTTAGGATTTTAAATCGTTGGGTTTAGTGGAATTGGAGAAGTGTATATGATTATATGTTATCAAAGTTTAAACCACAAAATAGCTACAAATTTTATTCAAAGAATCTGGAATTATCTTCTCCCAAAAAAAAAAACTAAACCGCATTCCAAAAATTTGGACACATCTAAAATCAAAAATAGGAAAACAAAAACTCAATTTATGATATTTTTCCAAATGTAAGATAAAACCATATTTAAGTAACATAGTATTAATGGTTTTTTAAGTAATATTTTTCATCCAAATATAAGAAAAAAATATAAAATAAAAAATCAAAACAAGTGTGTCCAAAATAAATGAAACGAGCTGAAATAAAAGAGTTTGAACGAAAAATATATTGGTAGATTTGTTGAAATTACACCAACAAAGGTTGATCGATCAAATGATAAGATACCATGCACCGGTTGTATGTGGATTTTTCAATTTAAGCAACTCAACTGTAACCATCTATCAACCATCTATAAAAAATTTCCAGATCTAACGAAACAGATTTTGTAACTGAAAAATTGAAAATGAAAACAAAAACAAAAAAGATAAAAAATGAAATAGTTTGTTGAATTAAAATTAATTTCCAATTGGATGTAAATCATGTTATTGTTATTTTTCCAACTGTTTAAACTGTGTCCAAATTAATGGAATTAAGATTATTTTGATAAAAAAATAATAAAAATAATAAAACTATTTTATCAATATAATCTCAATTTTTTTATTGTTGAACATTATAAAAAAAAAATATCAAATAATTTTTTTAAAAAATTTTTTAGAGAATCTACGATCACACGCCACTAAAATAAAATGTTCTTATCTCATCTCTCTCAAATTTTTATCATGTCGTATCGTGTTACTACTCCCTTAATATAGATTAACAAATTCAAAATTTACGAATAGATATTATTCAAATTTTAACTAATAACATAATTCAAAAAAAAAATTGCTTGAAGATTATTTTATATTTTGAACAATATTTAAAGTTATTTTTATTTTTTTAAAAAATTCAGGGTTGATTATTTTATATCTTAAAAAGGTTTTTATTTGTTTAATTCGAATATAATACATGAAATTATTTTACAATTTTTTTTATTTTTTTGTTTTTTCAAGTAATTTCTATTTTTAGAAAATTTTTTTTGAAAATTATTCGTATTAAACTTTTAATTTTGTCCTAGAGAAATATATTTCATTTTTCTTTTGATTTAATATTTTTTGAAATTTTATCTAAAAAAAAATGATTTTTTTCATTTATTTAATTTTTTATCATAAAACTAATAACTTTAGTTGATTTTTATTGTTAATAAATCAACGTATTGAGTTTTGATTTACTATTATTGTAATAAATGTCTGATTTAAAAAATTAAAAAAAAAATAAAAATCTTATGAAAAAAATGTAAAAATGAATAATTATTTTTTTATATTACAATATCAAATAAAAAAATAAAATCAAAACCTATTTTTGAAGATTTTTTTTCTTTATATTCTTAATTTGGATGAATCCAAACAAGAAATAACCTTGAATTACTCTCCCCATTACTATTTATTATTATTTTACAAAACATTTTTTTACAAATTTGTTTTGTGAATTCTTTTGTCAAAACTTTTTACTAAACCACAGTAAAAACAAAGAATAATTGTTTCAAAGAATAATGTAAAAAGGATTGAATTCTCAAAACTAAGTGACAATATCAAAAGATTAAGCATATTAAAAAAGAAAATATGTGAAAAATTAAGAAAAGATTTCAATCAGAATTCTGAATTATTTTGAGTTTTCAATATCAAGTGAAAAAAAAAATTCTAGAATAAAATGAATATATCAAATATAACCTTATTATAAAGAGGAATTCAATAAATATCCTATTTTCTGAAATAAAAACAAGAATTAGGTAAATGTCAAGTAAAATAAGAGTATTATATTCATTTTGGGAATTCTTTAGAATTTGGAAGTTTTTTGTTTCATTAAGATTTTTCAAACAAAAATTATTTGATTCAGATTTAAATCAAAAATTAATGATAATAGCATCACAAGAATATATTTAATTCTTTAGATCGTATATAGTTTTGATTTTTTATTTTTGTTTCTTCATGATTTATTTTATTTTATTTGTTTGATTTTGATTTTGTTTGTTAATTAAGGATGATATGTAATTATATTAAAAAGTTGTTGATTCGATTATTGTATTTTTTATGAGTCTTGGTTTCGTGAATTTTGTTTGATCGTTTTTATTTGTTTTTGTTTTTGCGGTTCTTATTTTGGCTGAGACTTTTTAATAAATTTACTAGTTTGAAAAAAGTACAAGCAACTTTATTTAAAATGAGCTTACAATGTATGGTTCTTTAGCTCAGCTGGAAGAGCGTTAGACTGAAGATCTAAATGTCCCGTGTTCGAGCCACGGAAGAACCATATTTTCTTTTTTTATTCTTTTTAATAACAACAAGACTTGTTCTTTCTATTTCAAACACTTTTAATTTTTTTCAATTGGTTGATGCAACAAAAAAGATTATTTTTTTTCAAATTTTTTCATTAATTTTTTCTTGATTATTTTTTTTTCATCGACTTTTTTTCAGTTACAGCTGCTCCAAGGCTACTGTGAAATTTTATCAATATCAAATTTTGGTGTTGATATAGATTTTTAAATCTAAGAATATAAGAATAAGAAAGCTTATATTAAAAATATTCTTCCATAAATGAGTCTATATTCAAAATATTTTTCTAATGTGATCGAAAAATAAATTCATTTTTTAGATGAAATTTTTTGTGGTTTCTTAATGAATTTTTGATGTTTAGAGTCATTTTGGGTTCTGAAAATTTATTTTTTGAAAATCAGAAAAAATTCAGGAATATCAGCTCATTTAGCAATTTTTTTTTTCAATATGAGCTTTATTATTCTCATATGGAACTTTTTAAAAATTTATATCAACATCAAAATTTGATATTGATGAAATTTCACGGTTGCTTTGGATTGACTTTACATAATCTATTTTATTAGATCTGGAAAATTTATTTTTCAATGGTTATGAGAATTTTTGTGTTGGGTGTGTTAGATTGAAAAATCCACATAGAATTAGTTGATAGTCTCTTATCACTTGATCGGTGAACAATTGTTTCTAAATTTCAACAAATTTATATGGAAAGGTGATCAGTTTTGCTTGTTTTTCAAAAATAAAATATTTGTTACAAATACATAAATTTATGGGGTCTATTAGTTTTCCGTTTGATCTTGAATTAATTTCACATATTCCCAATAGAAACACATTTCAAGATCCAAAACATAATTTAATTAAACTCAAAAATTAATTAAAAAAAAATGTTTAAAAAAACAAAATTAAAGATTCAAATCTAAATTACTTGGGTTCTTTTCCTTTTTGCAAATCAAACAGAGAATAATGTTTTCGTTTCAAAGTTTCAATATCTGGTTGTATTAAAAATATCTTTTTTTAGTAATTTTCTCCGAATTCAAGATTTTTCAAAATAAACTCAATTTCAAAAATTGTGACTTGCCTGAAATAATAAATTCACAAAACAAAAATATATCCTTTTAGTTATTCTAGAACAACTAATAATTAAATCTGATTTTTAATTCACTTTTAAATCCTTTTAAAATATTAAAAACTTAATATTTTTAGAAATAAAAAAAAAAAAAAAAACTAAAAAATCTGTGAGTCACAATTTTTGAAATGAGAATTACTTTTTTTTTTATTACAGAACTTTCACTGAAAAAAAGTTAAAAACATTTATAAGAAGATTTTTTACTAATAATCAAATTCATTTTAAAAAATATTACATTGTATCAATTTTCTTAGTTTTTATTTGTCTTCTCGAAGATTTTTTTTTTCTAGGCATTATCTTTTTGCAAAAAAAAAAAAAATAAAAAAAATAAAAAAAAGAAAAAATAAAAGAAAAAATAGAGAAAAACAATTTTTCAAAAAAAAAGCTAAACAAAAATTTACAAAATTAGGAAAAAAGATTCTGATCCCAAGATTTAAAATATTTTTTTTGATTTGAATATGGGATAAAAACATTCAAAAAAACTTCCATTAACATTATAAAGTGAGTCAAAATATTTGAAAAATAGTTAATTTAAAATTTATGTATCTTTCGATCTTTTATATATCTTTCTTTTAAATCAATAATACAATATCTCTTTTATGGGAAAAAATAACAAAATTAAAAAATAAAGTAAAAAATCTCAAATTAAAGAACAAAATTGAAATTCTAGTGAAATAAACCATGAAAAAATGAATTCTTAAAAAAAAAAGTACATTAATTTGGTATTTTTTCTTACTTAAATTCCATTGGAAATTTAAACCTTAAATGTGTAACTGACTGTATAATAAAAGCATTTATATGCCCACTTCTTATGAATTTTGTACAAATGTCATTAGTTTTTCTTTAGTTTCATAACGATCACAAGAATCAAAATATTTTAGTTATAAAGCAGAAAACTCTGAAAAATAATTTTCGTTTTTTTTTTTTTTTCATTTTTGTTTTGATATGAAAAACAGATATATTTCCTAAACAAAAACAATAATTTTGAAAAAAAAATAATTGAATTTGAATTTCAAAAAAGAAATATTCAATTTATTATTTTATTATTATAATATTTTTAAGATCTAGATTTTATACCAATAAAATAATATTTTAAAAAAATTATAATTAATTAATATTTTAATCCAAAATTATTCATAAAAAATAGAGTAGCATAACAAATATAAAATGAAATTTGTAAAAAAGTAGGAAAACAATTTTTCTAAATTATTTGTAAATCAAAAAAATTGGAAATTAAGGTAAAATATATTTATCTTTAACTAACTCCCTAATAAATAAAAATTTGTAAATTAAATTTCATAATAAATGGACCATGTTTATATTTGAAGTTTGAATTATATTTGTATTGTTTTGAAGTTTTTCCCCATCACAACGAAAAGTTTGCAAATAATTTTTTTTTTCTCTTTTTTATTTTTTCTACAGTATTTTGTTAAAAGAGAAAATGAAAATGAAAATTTGGAAATAAGTAACAGATGAATAAATGAAAAAATTGGTTTAAAATATGAAAAAGAGATTAGATTTAGTTATTCAAATGGAAAGAGAATCGATAAATGGATTTATTATTTTTTTAAAATTTCTATTTTTTATGTAATCCTTATTTCAAAATAACTAACCCAATTTTTTTTAATTTTTTTTTTTACTTGTTTTTATTTTATTTTACGAGGAAAAATAAAAATCTCTTGAGTATAGAAATGAATATTAAAATAGAAATTTTTATGTTATAATAGATACAGTCAGTTCCACTTTTAAGGCACAAACTTTCAACTAATTTTAAGGCACACAAAAAATCTCAAATTAAGATACAAAAATCAGATTCTAGTAAAATAAATTGTAAAAAAAAAAATTCCAAATTTAGTGCCTTAATTTGAGATTTTTTTGGGCTTTAAATTTAGTTGAAATTTTGTGCCTTAAAAGTGGAACTGACTGTAACTTCAATTATTAAAAATATTTATTTTCAAAATTTGATTTTTAATGGGTAAATGATTTTCAAATAGAGTTTTTATTCTTTAAGCAAACTTGGATGTCTCTATGTTTTGTAAACAATTTATTATTTTCTTCTGAATAATAAGATAATTTGATAACTACAGTAATTTTCTTGTTGATGAATTTAAATTTTTATTATTTATATACAAATATTTGAAAAATATTATATATAATGATGATGATGATGAAACTTGTAATTTAAATGAAACTAATAAATTGTCCGGATTAGTTTTTGCTCTTCCTCTTTTTAACTGGAAATAAAATTGTTATTTTTTTTTTCATTTGAATCTAAATATATAACATTTTATGGTTAATGTATCACATATTTATTGCTGATAACATAATTATTAATTAAAAGTACAGTCAGTTTCACTTTTAAGGCACAAACTTTCAACGAAATTTAAGGCACAATATAAACCTCAAATTAAGGAACAAAATTTGGAAATTTATTTTTTACAATTTATTTTTACTAGAATTTGAATTTAGTGCCTTAATTTGAGATTTTTATTGTGCCTTAAATTTCATTGAAAGTTTGTGCCTTAAAAGTGAAACTGACTGTAAATTTAGAAAAGTTATATTTTTCAAAATTTAAAACCAAGTTCGATTTTGATAAAAATATATTATTTGAAAAAAGGAATTCCCATAATTCTTATTTTTAATTTACCTTGAAAAGGTTTGAAAATTAAATTTTGATTAAAACTGAATCTCGAAAAAAAAAAATTAAATTATTAAATCTTTTATTCCCAGTATATTAATATTATTGTAAATAATTTAGATAGATCTTTGAACAATATATAATTTTTTTTTTTTCGTATTATACAAATTTTATTCAAAAAAAAATATTTAATTTTTTGATAAATAAATAAATCTCTTTCAATTTTTAACAATCCTAAAAAAATTGATAAAAAATATTTTTTTAATTTTTCTACTAATTGTTATCGTTTTAAATCATTTTTATTAGTTAAAGTAGTATATTCAAATCCCCATAGAACTTAAATTACCGATTTTACTTCAAATTTGAAATATCTTGTCTTTGTGTTTTTTGCTTTAAATAATTGAAAAAAAATTATACTATCAAAACAAGTCCTAAAATCATTATTAATTCTGAATATTAGGGAAATTATTTTAGAATTAATTAATAATTTCTTTTATTTAAGAACTAAACAATGAAAATTATTACTCACCAATTGATTTGAATAATGATTAATCAAATTAACTATTTTAAAAAAATATTCAAAAAAAATAAATTATCAGCAATAGTAATATTTTGATAAAAAATTAACAAATTTGTGATTATTTAGTCAAATTAGACAATAATGTAGATATCAACATTTGTGTTTATTTTTGACATACTGGAATATTTCCGATAATATTAAAAACTCGGAATGATGGGAAAATTGGCAATAATAAAAATAAACAGTTGTTATAAATAAAAAAAATTCATTTGTTTTTTTAATACTTAAAAAAATTACTTAACGGATCAAATAAAATTAAAAAAAAAAAAAAAATGTAAAAATCATAAATAGGTACTTTATTATATCTATTTTTCTGTAACAGTACAGCATTATAAATTAACTTTTTGAGTTAGTATAAAAATTTTTAAGAATAATTATTCAATTTGTGAAAACGATAATTATTTTTAATAAAATCACAAATTAGATATATTCGGATAAATCTCAATAATATTATTTCCTCACTAAAAAAAATCATAATAACGGATTTCCCTAATCAACCAAAATCAAGTTTACAAAATTACGATTATACAAATTCAAAGTAAGCCTCCAATAAAACTTAATTTTTTTCAGATATGCAAATTCAATTTTAGTTTCATTCAATTAACTTAATATTATATAGATAACCCCACTTCCATA